TCCTTGATGTCCTCACAGATTCTCACCGAGCGCATGATTGGTCTGACACGCAATAACAATTGGGGGATCGTCCCGGTCCATATTCTTGATCATAGCCTTTAGGGCCACTACACTGACCGTGGTTTTTCCTGTCCCAGGGGGACCTTGAACAATCGCAACCCTATTTGTTAGGATAGTCTTCAGAGCCCGCAGTTGTGTTTTATCCATAGTGCTCTGAATTGTGATGGGCCAGTTATGTAATATGTTGACTTCTTCAAGTGATTCCTTATCATGAACATCTGGAAAAAGGGACGATAGGTTAAGTGTCGGTGAGTCTTTTAGGTAGTCCGGAGGAGGCACGCTCTGATTCAAAAAACATATGTGTTCATGAAGCAAAAAGCTAGGATAAGCCACAATATCAGCTGGGCTCAAGAATTGAAATGGAAATGCATGAAAAAATTTATCAAACTCACTTGTCTCTATTCATTCTCTGCAATGCCTTCAGAGTCCATTTATACGCTTCGAAGTATCCTTGCCTTGACTCGACCATAATAAAGGTCTCTGTGGAATCAAACTCAGTTTCCCCTTCGGTGAATAAAAGATCCACCTCGGGCATCGGCATTTCCAGTCCAGCCTTTGGCCGTGCTGCGACTGTTGCTAGCTTTAAAGTCTTGAAATTGTCGTTGGAAAGGCAGACCAAAGTTCCGGGAAGAAGACGCTTAGAATTCTCCCAACGGACTCTCTTACCCGCACGATTAAGGGAGAAAGAGACTTTGCAACAGACGCCCATTGGAGCAAATGTCAGGCCTAGTACGCGAACCTTCAGGGAAAGAGATGTTAATGGCGGGCTCAATGTTATAGGGCTAATATCACATAAGGGAATGACTAACGTGATCATAGACAGCAAGGTCATTCGTATCTTCCGCGTCTGGATATTGTCTCATATGGCTGACGGCTTCTCTGAGCCCGGCAAATGCGTCCTCCTTCAAGAGCTCATAGTGCGCTTCCAAGTAGTCGTCAACAGAATCGTATGGGCCGTCAATCACATTGATTGGAAGTTCGACTCGCTCGCGAAGCAGTTCTGTAACTGAGGGAACTTCTGGACAGCGTCGCCATGCGTCAGGGGATTCTTCAGTGCTCTCCGTCTCAAAGCTGCGTAAGCAATGCATTAGAACGATGATTCCGGATCGTGAGCAAGGACGGGTCTGATATTACATTGCCACAAGTGGGTTCTTTGGAACACCCTTAGTCTGAGTTGGTGGCCCACCCCCAGTGGCAGGGCCCCAGGAAGCAGTCTCTTCTTCGTCATCGTCGTCGTCATCGGGAGCACCTTCGATTTTTAGTGCCGGAAGTTCATGTTTGTCTTTGCGTGGGGGTCCATTCCCATTCTTTGGGAGAAACTTGCGCCGGGTAGCTGTTTTGGGGCCACTAGTAGTCTGCCAACCCTCTGCAGAGCCATTATCGGAAACGGAACCACGGTTACCACTATCAGTGGATTCGACTTCGTGAGCAAGTGTGGCTTGAGCAGAACCCCGACTCAGCGCCGAAGGGCCCCCTGCAGCGGACCCCGAACTTGAGGAAGCATTAGATTGGCGTGGTCTATTGCCAGAAGGACCGTTTCCTTTACGTCTAGCCATTGGTGCAGCTGTGTAAGTAAAAGGTGTAACCCAGGATATCCCTTTCCAGGGACGAAAACCAACGATGTTTTTTTCAAGTTAGGGGTGCGGAGGTAGGATGGAGGGGTAAGTTTGACGGAGGAGTTGGCACTGGTAGGTAGGTAGGCGGGCAGGTTAGACAAGTTGGATAGGTTAGATAAGTACCATAGCTAACTTGGGTAGAGGAGGGAAAGGAGAGGGGTGGTTTGAGGGTTTCGGTCTGGGTTGACCCTCCACAGAAGTTACCGGACAGGTCTCGGGAAGACCAGATCCGGGGAGCAAATTCCTATAATACTTTTCTTGTTCTTTTTCTTTTTCTTTTTCTCCTCTCCTCCGTTTTTGTGACCTTTCACAGTAGCGAAAGCCTGATGAGGAAGTGTAAGAAAGTCAATTGATAACAGTATGATACGAGCACGGAAAGGCGTGTATACCGTTCTTGGCAGGACCGCTTGTTAGATGAGGGGGACGATGGTACCTATTATCTGGTCGATTACATGCAAAGCACAGCGCTCTCGGGGGCAGGTGAATGTTGAGGGCTTAGGGAAAAGGTTGCGGTGGTGATGGTGATGATGATGAGTATAAATGTTTAATCTTTATCAGATTCTAATAGGGTGGTCAAGCAACTTGGTAAGACCAAAAGTGCGCTCCGAGACATCAGGAAGTTAACAATGTGGGGTTGGCTTAAGGCCCACCTCTACCCCACCAATGGCGCAGGGAATGCCGGTATCATACTCGAGTGCAGCCGCGTTCGTAAAATTCTCAAACCACCCCCCGCACCCCAGGAGTGATGCCCATTGGGTAGCAAGAGCCCTTCAAATGGCTGCTTTTGGGGACCGGTATGAGATGCGCTTCACACTTTGTCCTAGCGAACAAGGGACTAGTGAGCCCTTTTCAAGGGCTTAGTGGTAGTACTTGTGCTGGGCAGCGGGAGAAGTCAAGCTAAATTGGAGCCACAGTAGTCTACTCTATGCGGCTCCCCTGCGTGAAGAATCATGGCCCAGCTGTGTTGCTTGCCCCTACAGAGGATCCACCCATTGACATCAAATACTGGAATCCGCTCTAACTTAATTTATTCTGCAGGCTCGCAGGAGGACAACTCCCATTGCTTCCATTGTATGCCAAGAAACAAGCAAACCTATCCTAGAAGTACCTGTACGCGGGAGAAGCCGTAGAATAACTCAAAAATGTGACTATTTCCTCTAATCTTACTGCTCGTTTGAGTACCGGTACGAGTACTGTACCAGTATCGCGATTCAGCTTGCTGCCAGTGTTTATGATACGTCTGTAAACCGCCCACCGTACAGTGTTGTGTTGTATCGCTTGTCTGCCCTTGCTCTTGACCGCAAGCAGGGGTCTCCCTCTTTCATTCCCATTTTTCATCTTTAGCAATCTTCAAGGTACCGGCCAGTATTATAGCCATGTGTGAAATTACCGCGCTATTCCTTTCTTTTCGCTTTTTCTTATCACGTACCGTACCGGTAACTATCCCAAAAATCTAATCAGATCCATTGCACCCATTTCTTCCTCCTGCCCGAACTCCAATGGCAAAGTAAGAATGTGATAGTCTACATATTTTATCATGGCAGGAAGACCATTTTGGCTGCAGCACTTCAAACTCATTTTTCTCATCACGGCGGCGAAACGCCACGCGTATAATACTTGTAGGTTCTAAAAAAAAAGAAACCTGTTCATCTGATATGGCCTCCGCAATTTGCCCAAAACCCAAGATTGCCCTTTCTTTCTTTCCGCGCTTACTGGGAGCAGGCTCTGACCGGATGCTAAAAAACGCTTTGGGAACCCGGAAGAGCATATGTGGAACTCAAGTCTCAATCAGGGAAGAAAGGAAATTTTGTATGCCAAACACCCGAATGGGCGAAAACATTCCACCGAAATAGAGCATAACAACTGAGCACATTACACCGAACAGAATAGGGAACTTGCTACGGTAGTGTACTCGTACTTGTACCTCGCCCGACCCCACAGAGAACGAAACAGTCGGAGGGTTGGGAAGATGGAGACGCCACTTGGTTCAGGTGGTGAACGGGAATCGGGTCCAAATGTGGGAAATGGCAAGTATGATAGCTCGCACATTGATACCCCTCTAAGGGCTGTTTACTTGTACCTCAATCTCTACGTCAACGGTCGTCCATACCATTGGTCCCTATCATACCTAACGGTTTAACACCACAAAACATAAACAACCGACAAACATCCACACGCACGCACCAGCACCCTTTGACAGAGGCATAATGCTAAAATCCCAAGTGATAGCTTCGGCCGCCTCTTCGGATAACGAGCAAGATGAGATTATGGAAGACCCCGAACAAGAAAATGACGACGACTCGGACGACGCGGGGGATGATGACGAGGACGCTGAGGGTGAAGGTGACCAGGACGATCAAGCAGAGGGCGATGAGAATGAGGCCGAGAACGAAGACGGAGATGGTGAAGGCGACGGTGAAGGCGACGGTACGCACTCTCCCAGACTGACTCCCACGTCAAGCTCCACTCGAAGCTGTGCCAACTGAACGACCAGATTCACAGCGGCACCCCCGCTCCCGGTCTACAACCCAGCCTCCGGTTCGCCCGCTCCCAACACTGAGACCAGAAGTGAAGAATGCGATCACCTACGAGATCACACCCTACGTCGCAGCTCCTCAGTCTACGAGCATAAATGCCTTTTGCGCTACACCTTGTATGCGTTGGGTTTTTACGGGGGGCAGTGATGGCTATATAAGGCGATTCGACTGGTTCGGGAGCATCAATGGCAAAGTGCCCTTGACAGTCGCACAGCGCCACCCCTTCGTTGATAGTGTCACAAGAGCTGGTATTCTGCTATCTTATTGGGAAAACGAAGAACCGATAGGTAGGGTCCTATGTGTGCCCAGCTTCACCACCGTGTTAAAGTGATCTGTAGTTGCCGGCAAGCCCCAAGTCCTTCATGTACCAGAAACGACCGACGACCTGAAATTAAGTCCAGTCTACAGTCTGGCTGTTCAAAATCAGAGCCTATGGCTGCTCAGTGGGCTCGAGGTTTACTCTCCCCGCAAAGACCAGAATTTCTATAACTAACCCCCGGCCCATTAGAGTGGTGGCATAAACCTCCAATCGGTTCGACACGACGAAGGAAAAATCATAACTACACTCCGGAAACACAACTCAGCTGTCAGCGTGCTTACACTTGCCAACGATGAGAAGTCTGTTCTTTCCGGAAGTTGGGACGGAGCAGTCTACGACTGGGATCTAAATACAGGCCAATCCCGGCGAGAATTTCCCTCTTCGTCAGGGCAGATATCAAGTGTAGCCTTTCGACCAATCTCTACCGAATGGCAAGAGATCAGAAACACTTCTTTGATCAACGGTGTATCCGGGGGGCGGGACGGGGGTTTATCCAATGGTATCAGCACGAGCAATGGAGATGGGGACGAAGATGCGCCCGGAAGTCCCGTCGAGAGCACGAGAAGTTTTGGCAGCCTCTTTGGTGATGATGACGACGATATGGGAATGGGAGTGGAAGAGGATGAGATGAGTAGAGCTATTACGAACGGGCTCGGCAGTGATCCAGTCCCCTTGGGGGATGGCAGCGAGGACCAAAGAACCAACAATGGCGATGCGATCATGGCCGACGATGTCACTAGGATACATACCAATGAGACGTCCGGAACCAGAAACGGTTCCACCAACGGTGGTCTTGGGACTGCTAATGGCTTCCTTCCACCCACATCAACTAACGGGCCGCCATCTTCAACCGACCAGAATGTGTTCCTAGCATCTTCCATGGACGGCACCCTCCGTATATGGGATATCAGAGAGCCCAACCCTGTAGCGGTTAGCACGCCCTCCAAGGGAGTTCCACCTTGGTGCATGAACTCCTGCTGGAGCACGAACGGAAACTTTCTCTATGCAGGACGACGAAACGGCACAGTTGAGGAATTCAGTGTCTATAAAGGAATCGGGGAAGCAACGAGGACCATGAAGTTCCCATTGGGGAGTGGCCCAATATCTGCATTGACCGCCTTGCCGAACGGAAGACATTTAATTTGGTTTGTCCCTGACTTTCCTTTTTCTTTCTCCTCCCCTGAATATTTTTTTTGAGCTAACGAGGTCTGTCCCCGCCTTCACAGTGCATCATTTGACAACTTACGGTTATACGACCTTAGTGAGAATGCATCGAAGCATTCAACTGTACCCTTCTATATTATACCAGGTCACCACGGAGGTGTCATTTCATCGTTGTGTATGTATTCCGGTGCATCATACCAGCTACTGCCCCCCCCTCCCGACTAACAGGACTTAGATGTCGATGCTACCGGCCAATACCTAATATCAATTGCCGGAAACCGGGGTTGGGAGGGCGTAACAACGGAAGTCCTTCTAGGTTATGAAATTGTAAGCGTGTTATCGTGACAAGTTTTCCGTCGTGGTGGTATTGCTCTATTATTTAGTCCTTGCGCTGTATAACAATAATGTAACGGATGGCCGAATGGTGTAACTCAATGTCTGTATTATAATCAAGCCAGAATATTTTTAAACGTATCATATATTGTGTACTTTCTTTCCCTCCCCCACGTCTCAGAAACCAGTCCTTATACGCGCACAATTACCATTCACCCTCCATTCCAGTGGTAACAGAATAACGCGAAAAACAATAGACAGATGAGCAGAGGGAACACACAACCTAAAAAAGAAAAGAAGAATACCAACTCCAATCCCCACCATGATAATATTACGACAACCCCTAAGTTACTCCCTCTGCCCCCCCCCCCCCGCGCCTAAAACCCCACATCCCCCCCCTCCTCCTCCTCGATAAAAAACATGCCAAAGCAAATAATAGTCCCATAAATCAACAAGCCACCCACAACCGCCATGATCATAGCAGGAATCGTAATAATACCCGAATGCGCCAACACGCGTCATTCTTGAAGGTA